AGCTTTTCCCTATCTCGCCTGTCGAAACCTTTCATGATCTTGAAGACCTCTATCAGGTCCCTGCGTAGCCTTCTCTTCTCTAATAGGAAAAGTCCTAACTTCTCCAGCCTGTCCTCATAGCTAAGCTTCCCCATTCCTGGTATCATTCTCGTGAATCTCCTCTGCACCCTTTCCAGTGCCTTAATATCCTTCCTGAAGTAAGGTGCCCAGAACTGGAAACAGTACTCCAGCTGAGGCCTAACCAGTGTTTTGTACAGATTAACCATAACCCCTACTCTTATACTCTATGCCCCTACTAATACAGTTCAGTACACTAAATGCCTTTTTTACTGCCTTATCTACCTGCCCCGCTACCTTTAATGATTCGCTTACTTGAACACCCCGATCTCTCTGTACGTTCACCCCCTTAAGATTGAGCTACCAAACCTATATTGCCTCCTATCATTTTTCCTCCCTAAGTGTATCACCTCACACTTATCCACATTCAAATCCATCTGCCACATGTCAGCCCATTCCACCATTCTGTGTATGTCTGCCTGCAGTTGGTTACAGTCCTCCTCACTATTTACTACCCGACCTAACTTGGTATCATCTGCAAACTTGGAAATAGTGCTCTCTATGCCCAGGTCCAGATCATTAATATATATTAGAAAGAGCAGTGGTCCCAATACCGATCCCTGGGGGACACCGTTGCACACCTCCTTCCATTTTGAGAAACACCCAGTTTTAACTGAAGAATTGTCTTCTCAATTTTGCGTTCAGCATTTAGATGTATAAAACATGTATGCATTTTAAAATAACGTATATAATTACTACAGGAGAAATTTCCCTCTGAACATTTTGCTGTTGTCTGTTTTTACTGTCTTTGCCTGGAGAATGACGACTACAGATTTATATTAGAGGCCTTTAAGTTCCTCTCCTTAATAGCTGTGACTTTCAATTTTAATCCATATATTGTACTGGACCACAAGGGTTCCTCAGACACATACGCGTATGGGAGAAGTAAAGCAGTATGAAGCAATTAGGTTAAGATATTTCTCAATCAATTTCCTCGTAACAAAGATTGCCTAAGGCGACTGATCACAAGTCATATGTAAGAATCGGGTTTGCCAGCGAGGTTAAACTTCGCCAGGTGTGAAAACTTTCTGAAAACATACTTTTCGTTGCCACGCACCAATTGGTCAAAACACTATCATGAATAACAAAGCTATCACAGGAACTGTTCCATTACAATAAAACAAAGTTTTGTATTCTGCAAGCGATGCTGAATGACCTCAAAAGGCAGATGGAGAAGGAATAGAGAATAAATCCCTCAGGCCTAACCTTCACTTCTTGTACTTTCTACATGACCTTGAGCTGAAGTTATCAGTCACTGAAACTGCTATGAATGAGTCATGGCTTTCTTACAGGTTAAGTAAAATGGAAGCTTTTTCTAAAAGATTCCAAATTGTTCCACGTTTTTACAACTACGCTGTCTAACTTAATTCAATATTCTGTTCCTGTCGACTTACTGTTTTTGCCACTTTTGCCATTCTTCTCCAGCAGTCCCCTTGTGGCACCACATACAGCTTCCAACAGACATGTCTGCCTGTGACTGCAGGAGACATTATATTGCTGCAGGCTAGTAGCTTCATCAGTAAGGATAAATTATTTTCTTTTTAAGACGCAGGATATCTTCCTGCTCAAAGAGTGGCAGGTGCTTAAATATACAGCTAATACTATGATAATAATACTTACATTTTACATTACATGAGTCCTGTAGCTCAGTGGTTAGAGCACTCACTTTGCAAGCGAGAGACCTGAGTACAATCCCCGGCAGGTCAGGGCGAAACCTTGGGCAAGTTTCCTTACTCCACACAGAGCCTAATAATAATCCCTCCAAAAAAACAAAACAATAATAAATTGGTCATTTTCAATCTACGACTGTTTGTGGGACATTGCTGTGCGCAATTGGCTGCCGCGTTCGTCCACAAATATACAGTCAATTCACTTTACAGTATATTCTGTGAAGCGCTTTGGGACGTCTAGAAGACGTGAAAAGCGCTATATCAAATGCAAGGATTATTATTATTTTGATATAGCGCTTTATCATGTTGTTGAGACATCTCAAAACGCTTCACAGAATAAAGTGTAGTGACTGTGTAGTTTGTGAGCGAAATGCGGCAGCCAATTGTGCCCAGCAGTGTCCCAAATAAAGTCATGGATTGAGTGACCAAATTATTATTATTTGGGGGGATTATTATCATTTATTATAAATTAGAATAAATTATTATTTACTACCGGAGCACAGGATATATAAACCTGAAAACGGCTTCTCGGAGAAAAATCATCATGATTAAATAAAATAAGTAAATACACAATATAAGAAAAACATTTCTGCACAGCTGAATATTGCTCAAACATTTTCATATGCGATGATTCCGTTCCACAAAGTGATGACTTAGAGTTAATAATTTGGTTACTGAGGATGTAGTCAGCATTAAGTCTCTACATTTAGATTTCTATATTACGTTTTATTGTATTGCCGCGATTGTTGCCATTATTTTAATAGCAATTGTGATGGCTTGCTCTGTCGGGATCCTTTTCTACCACTGCCCTGAATTATTCCTAGTGCAGCAAAGGCAGAGCTGTCAGCGCTCCCCTTCAAAACTAACCAACCGAGCTTCCTGACAGCTTCCCAACAGAGATCTCCAAATGAAGAAAACAACCGTTCACTTGACAAGAATTTTAAATCAGGAGCCAATTGCTCCGCCAATGTTTTGTGTCCTGCTTGGTGTCAGCCGGGCAAAGTCAGGGGCGCTCTTATCTCCGAGTCAGAAGATTGTGGGGTCAAGCCCCACTTCAGGACTTTAAGCTCACAGTCTAGGCTAACATTGCAAATACAGTGCTGGGAAGGGCCACATTGAACTGGCATTCCATTTATGGATCATATCTTTCAGTGAACAAAGTGCAGCGATATGCAACTTACTATGTAGTATTTAACAATTTAATTCTAACTAAAGTTTCAGAAGTTTTCTTTCTGGGCTGTTACAAACCACACAGAAACAGCTTATATGAAAAGTAATTTGTGACCTGTTCTGTAACGTACTTCAGATAAAAATGCAGTCAAAAGTAATCAAAATGATTAGATGGTTAAAGATACTAATTGTCTGACGTCCAGTTGGCAGATCAAGTGTATGGTTCCTTAGACAGTGATGCAAAATATGCCAAAGCTTGATTTTAAAGGGATGAACAATTTGGGTGAGATCACAATTGGCAACAAACGGTAAACAATAACATTAGGATCATGAATCATGGAAACTGCGAGGTGGATTTGTGGTATAAAGTGAAAAAAGCTGCAGAAAGAGAGATAGAGAGAGAGTCAGCAGAGAGAGAGAGAGGGCTCTCTTCATCACAGAGGTGGAGTTGGCCTACTGGTTGTCCAAGCTGCTTCCTTACACAAGATTCTGAATTAAACAATTGTTATCCATTGTTAGAAAATGTTTGACCAGACATCTAGACCCATGATGTACTGGTCTGTCATCAACTGCTCTTCAAAGGTCTCTCCATTATGCTGAAGACTTACCGAGTAAACAGCTTTGGGTTGACATCTATTGGAAGGCATTTCTGTACCTACTTTACGGCTGGTGGCAGTGTAGAACCGTTATCCTTTTGCACAAGACTGACGTTGGGATAACTAGTTGAACTTGAAGTTGCTCTCAGTGCCTCTATGTTCATGGTCTATGTAATATAGGAGAGCTCTGAACGCTAGTTAACATTAATATGCTACAAATGGAACATGCATTGTATTTGGACTCCAGGCAGAACAACTTACAACAAATGTCTAGTGTGTAGAAAGTAAAATTTAATGTTACAAGAGAGTTTGCACTGTCCCTTTGAGCTGATTGTCTTTAAAGTAAGCCTTCATTGGCTGCGTCATCAAGATTGGTATAATTATATCATGAATTTTTACACAAGTGTTGTCAACTCTCATCCAAGAAGGAAAACTGCCAGAAAGGGATTTAGATGATTAAATCAAACAAGTACTTTCAAACAGCTATTGCTACTAATACTAATATTCTTCCACATTTTACTTCCTAGGTGTGATTGGAGTCTGATTGCAGTGTTAAGAGGGGTGAACTATGTGGGACAGTTAGATAAAAAGATGTCTCACAGGGGACTCTATCTCCAGGTATAGAATGTGCCTCATGGGATGGAGAATACTTTCAGTCACGCCAATGACAGGATTTTCAGATCCCAATATGGCTTGGTATTAAAATCAGGTTTCAGAGATAAAAGCCTGTACAATACAATTTACATTTATTATATAGCATCTTTCATGTCGAGAAGAAGTCTCAAAATGCCATGGAAGCCTGTTCACAGATAACTTCCAAAAATGTTCTAGGCTCTTGTTTTAGGAATCCAACAACCTTGCTTTGTTTATTACCTTCACAGCAACCCATCCTGGTCATCCAACCTGGAAATGTTAATCTGCAGTTGGGCATGTGACCCACTTCTGATCATGTTGCTCTCGCTGTTGGCAGCTGGTAGTCATGGTCACCAGTTGTGAGCTCTGGGACGCTGTCCTGACACGTCCACCCGTAACTAGCCTTGTGTATGGGGTTAGGTTCACTTGCTGCATGTTAGACACATTGATTTCCTCTGAAACTTGCAGTCATTACCAATACACAGGCACTTGCACAATGCACGATTTGACACAAGTGATGCTGTGTTACTTTAATGCTTAACTGCAAACCTTGGGATTGTTTGCTGCAGTTATCTTAGCAAATCAACTTGGGTATAAAGGCAGAATCAATGTCAGTTTGATGGTAATAATCCTTACAAGTCTTTCATGTCAGGAGGATGTCTCAAAGCATTTCACAGAATTTACTGTAAAGATTGTGTATTTTATAGGGGAAGCAATATTTTCACAAAACTTTTCAGTTCCTAGTCAGAAATTCTACTGAAAAATCAGATCTTTGACTGAACAATACAATAATTCTCTGGCACAAGCCGCTCACCTTGCTCACAGCTTCAGACACTGTTGCTTTTTGCTCTTGCTTCTGTTTGATAACGTGCTCCATTAAGCACTGGTACACTTTCCTCTTTTGTTCTGCTGAGAAAGCTTCCAAACTCAAAGTGCTGTGTGATTTCTGATGAAATAAGAGAACAGAATGATCCTTACCGGTACTTCGACTTAAAAGCATTTCTTGCCAGAAGCCAAATTACTCAAATACAATGTTCTGTTGGGACCTTAGGGTCTTCTGTGGGTTATGTTTAACTGGACTGTGAAAGAAAACAACTGCTTTGTCTTCATAACTGCTAAAGCTACACAATATTACAACAATAATAATACTACAGTAAAACTACAACAATAATAATAATACAATAATAATATTGCAATAACTGAGGTGGGAAGCTGGCACATTGACTGAGGTTGGGCAGACTCCTTTTGGGAGATGCTGAGCTGAAATAAAGTATACCTATCTGTCTTAGCAATAAATATTTTTCTTTTAAAATAAGAGCTGTTTGTTCTGGTAAAGAAAGATGACCTTGTGTTGGATGTATTACAATGGAGTAACTCGGCTCTCTACCAAGGACTGGATGTCCTTCATTAACCCCCAGCCACCCATTCACACAACCTCCGTCCCCACCCCCACACACACACAGCCCCCCCACACACACCCAACTCCCCCCACACACACAGCCCCCCCCCCCGCACACACACAGCCCCCCCCCCGCACACAGCCCCCCCCCGCACACACAGCCCCCCCCCCGCACACAGCCCCCCCCCGCGCACACAGCCCCCCCACACAGCCCCCCCCCCACACACACAGCCCCCCCCACCCCCCCCCCCCACACAGCCCCCCCCCGCGCACACAGCCCCCCCCCGCGCACACAGCCCCCCCCCGCGCACACAGCCCCCCCCCGCGCACACAGCCCCCCCCGCGCACACAGCCCCCCCCGCGCACACAGCCCCCCCCCCGCGCACACAGCCCCCCCCGCGCACACAGCCCCCCCCCGCGCACACAGCCCCCCCGCGCACACAGCCCCCCCGCGCACACAGCCCCCCCCGCGCACACAGCCCCCCCCCGCGCACACAGCCCCCCCCCGCGCACACAGCCCCCCCCGCGCACACAGCCCCCCCCCGCGCACACAGCCCCCCCCCGCACACACAGCCCCCCCCCGCACACACAGCCCCCCCCACACACAGCCCCCCCACACACACAGCCCCCCCCGCACACACAGCCCCCCCCGCACACACAGCCCCCCCGCACACACAGAAAAATAGCCAGAAGTGCCCATTATTTGTTTCGCAATCTAGAAATGACCTAATCAGCAATAATTTTTCTTTAGCAAAACAAAGCTAAATAGAACAACTGAACAGAATAACAAATGCACTCACTTGCCAACACAATTTAATCAATAGTTAGTTATACAACAAAACTGACCAGTCATCTAATATCTTACACTCCAGTTTTTAATATAGAAAGCTGTTAACACTTTGCTATTTTGAATACCAATTACCACAGGGCAGCCTTGTGTAGGGCATGCTATCTATTATTTAATATTTAAAAGCAACATCTCAAATAGTGGATGTAAAATGATGTATTAGGAAAATAAATTCCTTTCTAGAGCTATATTTATGTATATACATATATAGCGTTTCGCCCACATATATACAGTCAATTCACTTTACAGTATGTTCTGTGAAGCACTTTGGGGCGTCTAGAAGACGTGAAACACGCTACATCAAATGCAAGGATCATTATTATTATTATTTATTGAAGGTCAGAAATATTCCCCTAAACCTAAACTATCAACGTTTTGGAAAGAACACGTAACAAGTTACAACAGTAAAAAAACTTTTGAAAGCAAACGTTTTATATTCCTGACGAGCAGATACATACCTCACCGCGAGATGTGATAGAAAAGTGGAGATCCCCCCAAGCACCTGTAAAAACAATTTGTCACGATTCCAATCAGTATTTTCTAAAAATACGACGCAAACATGAAATGCACAGAACAGCCAACGCACTTCCCCACTTATTAGGGGCCAGTAATTTTGAAGGAACAGTATAGAACTAAGTCAAAGATCAGAAAATCTAAAGCTACTTCTAGCATCAAGGTTTAATTCTGATTTATAAGGTATTGAATCTTAGCAAACTGTTAGCAGAGGCAAACTGGAAAACGATTTTAACATAGATAAAAATAATGGGCATTTCTGTCTATTTTTCAGCTTTTTCTAAGAAGTTTACAAACAAATACAAGCAAATTATTCCTATTTAAGCTGTTTCACAAAGGGATTAGAGGTCTGAGCAACATACGTCCCTGAGTGAAGTTTTGTAATGTAAAATAATCAGCACTGAACTGATCACCAGGAAAATATCCCTGTGTTAGAGGCCCCTCAGTGATATCAGTGACCGAACGCATGAAGCCGGTCCATTCACACCAAAGGGCAGGCAGGGAGTCGGTGCTGATCGGCACGGCAGTGGCTGGGGATGGCTAGCAATGTACCCACAGGACCACATAGAACTGCTTCAACTAAAACATCCCAAAAACATAAAGTGGGACGCTGCAAAGCAGGAAACTGTTACCCCACAGCCAGTTGTCTATAAAGTTCAAACAGAATTTAACAAGAGCACAGGAACAATGTGTCAGAATTTTTATCAAGCCATGAATTCATCAGGAGGTCAGAAAGTGCACGAATCTGTGGAGGGAAACTGATGATATAATAATAAGGACATTGAGTAGATGCTGTTTATGTGCAATGCAGCGTTGATTGAAACTGCAAGTTCGAAAAGGAGAAACAAGACAATAATCCAGACACTGAGTCTGGGGTAGACTTGCATCTTGTGGTCTCACATGTAAAGGGTTTTTTTCTGCAAACATTTCTTGCATGGCTTGTGCCAGCGCTGCACCACGTCAGAACCTCAATACACAATAGGCAGTTGTTGCAAATCGGAAAGTAACCACAGGATGTATGTAGGAGAGAACCTTGTTCAAAAAAATATTTTTGCTTTCGTCTCCAAGAGATGAAATTGCTGAGATTAGTTGACAAACAATGCACACAAATTTTTAAATGGCAACATTAATCTATCAGACTGTCCAGTGAGGAAAAGGAGCCAGCATGTGATCAGACAGCGTTTGCAGAATACCCCTACAATGAGACATGACAGAGGTCTGTAGTTTCGCTAAGATGTGTTTACAAGTCCTCATTCAAGATTCATCAGAGCAGAATTTCATGTTACACAAGGGGGAATTGGACACAAAACGTTTGCTCAAGACCGTCTCAAAGTAACAGAGTGGAAATAACTGATAACTGAGAGAAGCATCAATAATTGAATAGTTTCCCAAATATCACGTAAGATTCTGCATAGTTTAGTAGAAAACTCGATGACATCAGCAAAGTGGCGATAGAACATCTCAAAAACCTAAAGTGAGACGCTGCAAGGCAGGAAATTGTTACCCCATTGGTAACAAGTCCCAATTTAAGCCCTTTCGAGGACAGGTTCCTGGGACGACTGGTGAGGAAAAGCTTGCTAAATGACTCTGGCTTGAATGAAGTACAAGTTGTGATCTAATTACATTTAAACCCTTTCAATGTCTGAATAATCCGGAGGTAGCATCAAGACCTACCTAACTGGTGATGTATACATACTCAGACTAAGCAAATAGATCAGCAGGCACTGCATGAATGGACACATCAAACCTATGTGAAGCCAAGAATAGAAAAATTGCCTGAGAGACTGAAATCTATTTTGGTCAGTTTTTGGCAGTTCAGAAAGCTTCATTTCACTTTAAAGAACACTTGCAAAATAGGCCAGGCCAGATAATGGAGAACTTTGTCCCTTTTCTTCACGAAGCATCAGCAAAAGGGCATAGAATTACATCCAATCAAATGGTGGTTTTCATTGATGACTGTTAAGCTTGTTACTATTTGCGTCAATGGACCATGTGAACAAAAACTCAGTGATGGGATCTGGAGATAAGGTCTGTTGCATAAGGGATGTTTTATTATCTCTCTACATGAGCCAGAAAATCCTGGGATCTGATTGAAGTATCCCATAGGCGATTATCACAGCAACGCCTGTTCCACTTACTTTGCTCTATCTCTGTGCACTGCAGGAAAAAAGGATTTTGCAGAACACTGCACTGACCCCTTTCGTCCTCCTTGGTCAAAAGTATCAAGTCGGTGTAGATGAAAATGCAAACCTGTAGAAGACACAAGGGTATACACAAATCAATCTTCTGGAGTTGGGGTGAAATGGATGTGCTGCTCAGCATTAAATTCAGAACATTAGTTTGCTGTGTGCTAGATTTTAAAAGCAGAAGGAGTAATGTTTTTGTCTCTGTGTGCTCACTGCATACCCTTGCAACAGTCGGTTCGCTCCCCTGTGTGTGCTGCATGCACAAATCAGAAAACAATGTCAACGGCAACTTAATGATCTGGAAATCTGCCATGTTAGTGGCTAATCTAGCCGGCCACCTGAATGTGCGCGCAGTGACTGGAGCCCACCATGAAACTATAACTGAATTGCGCTAAAACAAACCGGTGTTAACAGGGTCGCACTATACAGAGTATTTCAGAACTAACGTGGTTTAAGTTGTGACATTTAGTTTACGTGGGTTACACCCACTATATAACCTTTTAGTTGAAAGGCTCACAAACCACAGCACCTCTATGTTCTGTAGTGGCTGGAACAGTTTAGCTAAATAATATTCTTTGTTTGACCTCTCCACAGAAAGAGCTTGGAAGTGAATTTCACCAGCATTTCCTGCTTCTTCCTCAAGAGAACAGATGAGTTGGAGCATTTTACAGCGGCAAAGTTCAGTTTACTGTTTTTTTTACTGAATTAATTTCATATACACAAAGAATTTCCGACCATTCTGTATGCCTTGCAAATTGTGCTAAATTGCCCCTTGTATGATATTCACAATGCAAGAACATTTTTTTAAGTTTTAAAGGAATTTGGGCTTCTTAAACTTCAGGTTCATTGAGAATCTCCTGCTGCAGCCGGAATCGACGCCGACAGAGAGATGGACAGCGTTTGCTGTAAAATTTACAATCAAACATTTTGGCGGCTGTAAAACAAGGATTATGAAAATGGTTTGCTTTTTCCCCCTTTTTAGTATGTTTTCTACTATATCCACTGGGTAAGCTGCTATTATATACTTTTTTTAAACAAAATCTAATCGAGAGGATACGGGGATGTGTCTAGGATTAAAGAATGTGTGGGTTTTGGTTCCATCCAAATGATAACTCGTTTCCCCCCCCACTCAGCAACTGAGGATCAGATTTGACCTATAAATTTGTTTTCTTTTCCCGGAGATTTTGTATCTTCGTCTTTTTGTCTTCTGGTATGCTAAAGCTTTACAAGTTCTACAAACCTCTTACAATGAACAGAAAATATCAAGGATGGCAAAATTAAAGAAATAGATTGTTTCAGCCATCTTTTGGTATCTTGCACAAAGATTGATGGCAATTAATAGCTATACATGAGGAAACTATTGTCTAAAGCAATGGTGGACAACCTGTGGCTCGTGGGCCGGAAGTGGCCTCGAACATTCGCATGAGGCTAGACAAGTCTGGGTCTGATCGAGTGTGTGATTTCAGTTTTTGTTGATTGAATATTTCTTGATTTATGCTATAAATCAAGAAATATTCAATCAAGAAAGGTTTTTTTTCGGCCAGCCATAAAGGTTGGTCACTACTGGTGTAAAGGATCACAGACCTGTAAGCAAATAGCACCAAAGAGAAAAATTGACAATCTGGTTGATCTAATCCGTTTATTCCACAGACTGTGTAGAATTTGCCTCATCCTTTCAATCCAAATTTATTTTATTTCTAAAGACAGTTGACTGACCTAAACACAAAGCACTATGAAAGTATATATCTCACTCCCAAAGTTTACTTAATCGTGGGCAAACAACTAAAACTCATCAACAACAAATTACATTTCATGTTGGGAGACGTCCCAACGTTCTGATATGAAAGGCGATATATAAATGCAGTTGTTCCAGATTGCGTTCCCATGGTGCTAGTATCAAAGCAACTATTATAATTCACTGCATTGGATCAAGTAGACTAATTTTAGAATACCTCATTCTTAACCAGATATTTATATCTGTTTAAAATTGATGCCTGATGTCTACTTTAGTTCCTAGTCTATTTTCTGTGCTGTAGCAAAAAAAATCTTCTAACTTCGCAAAGTTTCTTATACTGATCAATAATTTCACCCCAGTTCCATTTTCTTTATGATAGATAAATCCAATTATGCAACTTGTCTTTGCAAGTTTCTATTTGAATGCATAATTACTCTAATTTCACAATTTCAACACTGTACAATTTGAGTAGCACAGAAAAGATTTTTTTTAAAAATGGAAGTAACATTTCAACTTCTGCTTTTAACAACTCCATTCTGTTTCTTCACAGTAGAACATAAAACACTTACCTTGAGAGGTCGACTTTTTCCTTCGTGTAAAAGCAAATTCTCCGAAAGAACCAAGCTTCGTGCTGGATTGCACAGATCAAGCGGCTGCCATTAAAAAAAGACATAAATTAGTTATGAGAATTTTATAGGCAGGACTTTAATTTAGCACAATAATTCAAGTTAGCACTTACTAGCAATATTGGCAATCTACATTAGTGGCAATAAAATAAACTTTGTTCGAGTTATACTCTAGTTATCTTGAAAATGTACGTCTTCACAATACAACCCGCAGCACAAGTGCAAGAGGTTCCACCAAATAGAGAACAAAAATCCACTCGCTTTGTCAGTTGCTGCAATCGAATACAAACCAATCAGGTAACACAAGATTTCCTCTGCTCGGACTTCAGCTACAGAATTCTTAGCTGTGGGTGAGATTTGCTTATCAAAGAGGATGTCAGATAGCTGTTTGCCTAGAAGCAGCTAACCTCACAAAGCGGAGGCGGACTTCCCAATATAACTCTGCACTTTCAGCCCCGTGCTGTGTTCTCGCCAAAAAGGACTCTCTGCAAAGTGAGAACCCACTTTGTGCACATTTTTTGTTGACACATTCTCTCTTACCCCATTTTTAAAAAAAAACTCAGGGCTTCAGGAGAATTGATAATGACAAGCAACTGTACATTCTCTTCACATAGCTGAAACTAGAATGCGGTGATCTAGGTGCCTCAGCCACTGCTTAGTGTGTGACTTAAGAGTCCTGATACCAAGAATGCAAAACACAATTAACAAGCAACAACAACAAATTGTATTTGTATATAATAATATTATATAGTGAGGACATCGGGAGGACGTCCAAGGTGCTTGGTCCTAAGCTGTAAGTATCTCTTGCCTAACATAAATGTTCAGGGAAGGAAGAGGTTGCACCTGATCAATCACACAACTGGAGAATAGTAAATTTGCGGGCATTACACGAGAATGAAACTCCTTCTACTTCTCCCCTTGGTTTTGTCAAGTCCCTGCACTCCTCTGCACACCCCGACCTCTCTGACCTCCTCTCTCCTCAGCACAGTACCCGTTGCCTCCGTTCCTCCGGGTCTGGCCTCCTCCTTGTCCCCCGAGTCCTCCACTCCACCCTCAGCGGCCGTGCCTTCAGCCACTTTGCCCCGAGGCTCTAGAACTGCCTTCCTCATTCGCTTCGCCTCGCCCCCTCCCTTCCCATTTTCAGGTCTCTGCTGAAGACCTTTCTTTTCAACTGCGCCTTTGGTCACCTTCCCCCCCTCCCCATCCCTCTGGCTCCTTCCCCTCCCCCTGGCTCGGTCCCAAGATCCTAAATTGTAAAGCGCTCTGAGACGCCGTCCGGCGTGGAGGGCAGTATATAAGTCCAAGTTGTTGTTGTTGCTGTCTGATATAATAAATGAGAAGATTTCTACCATATTAGGATTGCACATGTGTCTGCAATGTCCACCAATGCATTTCCTAAAAGTCTAGTGACTATTTCTGCCTCTCTGACATGAAGAATATTCTTAATAAATTCCTCTTTAAACAGTTATAAGCATATTGACATACGTGCTCTAATGCCATCATTTACTATTGCTAGAACTCTTATTGGTTATTTCAATTTTGTTAATTGCATTGACAATACGTTATTAAAATGTTAATACAGTAGTAAACTGTTGAATGAATCACACACACATATTACATAGAATGATTCGAATGGAAACAGGTCCCTTGGTCCAACAAGCAAGTCAATATCGTGCTTTATCTCCACACGAGCTCCTACACCCCTCTGTTCACTCACGTGTGCATCTAATTTCCTCTTAAACACAGCGAGGAATTTATTGGGTTGTTTTGTGTTTTTCTGTTGGATATGTTTTAAAGAAAAAAACGAGGTCCCTATTTGGAAAATTCCCCCCTTGCTCAAACCTGCTCAAACCACAGTCCCTGTTCTATGATGACTCATTGACATCAAACGTCGCATAACAGTTAGAAAAATCTGCTGAAACTTGACCGCTCTTCAGCTAATCATATTCAACTTCCTTTTATTATATACGATTGCATCGTACTTGACGATTACTCACCACTCTCACATGAAACACCACATTCAGTTGTAGGAATAAAGTGGACTCGTCATTTCAAAAGCAGTAAAGCCACAAGGACATTCTACCTGAAAAATTAACTCACTTTCCTCTCCATAGATGCTGCCTGACCTGCTGAGTCTACCCAGCAACTTCTGTTTTTATTCCACAAAGTCATTTCTCCAGCACTGGAGTAAAACTTTAAAAATATGTTTTACCTCAAGCTATAAAAGAAGAAATGGCTGACGTGAGGATAGTTTAAATATTCCCTGATCTCTTTACTTCATTATAAAAAAAGATCAAAATGGTATTTACTATCATCATCAATACAGCCAGGTATTCACTTGTGGAGATGAGCCATTCTGCCCATGTAATGATGTAGTGTCCCTGGATTTATAAATAATAATAGTCCTTGCATTTGATACAGCACTTTTCATGTCTGCTCGACGTCTCAAAGCCCTTCACAGAATATACTGTAAAGTGAATTGACCGTATATTTGTGGGCAAAATGCGGCAGCAAATTGCGCACAGCAGTGTCCCACAAACAGCCGTGGATTGAGTGACCAAATTATTATTGTTTTTTTTTCTTGAGGGATTATTATCAGGCATGTGGAGTAAGAAAACTTGTCCAAGGTTTCACCCTGCCGGGAATTGAACCCAGGTCTCTCGCATGAGGTGAGTGCTCTAACCACTGAGCTACAGGACTCCACATGCCTTGTGTAGTCCCCATTCATTCCTATGGCAGTTACAATCTGGACTTCCACAGAGATCATTCAGGAAGTGCCCGAGTCAGGACACTTAGCACTAACTGGGCCCTGAGGATGATCAAGCTGAGAGCTCTCCCCTAGCTCTCTCCTGTAACTGCTTCATACAGCAAACAACAAGGGTATTTTTTTGCTTCTAAATGTTTTAAATGGTTTTCAATTAAATAATGAAATTTGGAGAAAAACCACTGCAATTGGGATATTGCAAGTCCAGAAATGTTGAAAATGTTTCCATTCTCTCTCAGTCCATTAATGTTATATATAAAACACGATATACACTTCCAAAAACTGATGAAATAGGCTTCACATGGGCTTTTATGTCATGTTTTTTCAAAATGACAACAATGATTGTTGTTGAGTTATTACGCAGTTTCGATGAGCTGCTTTCACTTGTCCAGGGTTAAGTCCATGCAGTAAAATTCAGCCATCAAAAATAAATACATGTCTTTTTAAACTCAATTATTCCTTAGACAGAAATAGCCTCAAGGGGCATTAGAATCTCACCCAAAAACATCAGAAATGCGATTAAGTTACTGTCGCAACATTTCTATTGAAGCATTCAATGTAACTGAAAGGCCAAAGGGAAGTTTATGCCACAGAATGAAGTGCTTTTGGCTTTTATTATTAAGGAGGCCCTTCATTATTTTGGAGGTGATGTTACGCTATGAATGCCTGAATTGAATGGTATTATTAGTACTATAATAATAATTATTATTAATGATATTACCTGGACAAAGAGAGGGAAGACGACAATTTTTGGAGGAAGAGTCATGCATGTTGCGTAATTGGCAGGGGCAATATGGGACCTCACTATTGTACAGTTTCGGTAGTTTCCATAATTTTTCACTGCTTGTACGGTTGACTTCAGCAGATCTGTAGAAGATCCTATAAGCGACTGCTTTCTCTCTGGTCCACTCTGCTCTCGTCCTAGATTTGCTGCAGGAAAACAACAAGGCCACAGCATGTTTATATATGTTTATACAGTAACATGATTTGAGTTGTCTCAATTTAAACATGTCACAGCATCTCAATAACAGCTACCAACTAAATGTGAGGATGTGTGGAATATAAACATAGAACTCTATGGAAAAGAGAACGTTTTATTGAGAATGAGCTTTTACACAACAGCCGGGATAAGACAACACATTTTAAGCGCTTTAAAAGGTAAAGTTCGCCACCTGCTGTTTTATATTGTTAACTAACAAGTAGTCTGTACAATGTCAGCATTTCACCGGACTGGATCCTCCTCCCATTAGTCCATCTAGCTGGGGTTTCTGTGGAATGATTTGTGAAGTTCCAATAGAGAATGACTGAATTACTGAAATGGTGTGTTTGGCAATTTTTCAAGAGACTTAAACTGAATTGTGAACCTAAAGTGCCTTAAATTGGGCAATTTCAGATTAATTTGCATTCTCATCACTGGTTGCAATTGATGCTGAACACTTACCATAAATGACGTGGTTGTCTTGAGATATTTGCCTCAGAATCTGAAAAATATTAAAAATTTAATCTAATCAGGAATTAAATTTAATTACGTGATTCAACTACGTTGTATTCAAAATTCTCATATTAACCCATAGTGTTAGTTATTTAAATCTGTAATAATTATAATCCTGTAGTGGTTTATCATGTCGTTGAGACATCCCAATAGTGCTTTAAAAGGATTTACTGCAAAGTGTATTGACTGGGGACTTGTAGGTAAATGTGGCAGCAAATTTGCGTGCAGCAACACCCCAGAAACATCCATGAAATCAATGATCAATTTTATCTGGGGGATTGTCGGCCAGGTCACTGGGAGAAATTCCTTTCTCTTTTTGAAAAGTGCCAATGGATCCTTTAAATGTCCACCTAAACAGTCAGCTGTGACCTTGGTTTACTGTCTCATTCAAAGAACATCACCTATAACAGTACAGACTCTGGCACTGCACTGGCCTGTCAAAAAATCAAATTATCCAAATTCTGCTTGAAATATCACTTTGAAAAAACACTATTTTCATTGCGATATTTCTTGCCATTCACTCCCGGAGAATTAATCAAATTGCTCCACGTGGTTGGATGGTACCTGACTGCCGTGTTTGATTGGTGACAAGATGATGATGTTCTTGTCCCCACCAGAGGCCACATGGGACACCGAGGGCACATTCTGGGAACACTTGTCAAATTCCTGCCGTCGCTCCCAGCTATTCAGTATGACTCCATCTGTGCCATCATACACCATACTGAGGCTCGCTCTGTGATCCCCCGATCCCATTGAGCTGACACTGCTCTTCTCCCGTTTGTTCGGTGGCGTCTGGAGCTCGTAATTTGATCGGTGTGAGGGAAGTCTTATCAAATTCTCAAAGCCGGGTTTCAACTGAGGACCAAGGCGCCAAATTAAAACAACAATCTCACTGTGGCAGTTTCTGTGAAAGAGAAAAGAAAAGCAGCTTTGAAGGCAACACTTTCGGTCTGAACAAGTTAACATTTCATAACAGTCGCAGACTTTCTCAATATCAAACGCTCTATTGATCTTTAAAAAAACCTTTACAAGAAACTTTAGCAAAGCAAATCATGCAACATCAGCTGTGTTCATCAGCAATATAAGCCATGGTTTAATACAGGAGGAAATAAAACACTTCTCTGTAAGATGAGAGGCTCTGAGATACAGAGGAGCCGTGAGCATCAGCCCTCATGGGGAAGGCTGCCCTGATCGACAATGAGATTTCAAATCAAACTGCTGGCAAGTGATGTCTTGTTAATAATATCCTTTTGATTCTGAAATGCTGTACACTGTCCAACGCCTTGAGACGTGCTCCTGATGTGAAAGGCGCCATACAAATGTAATCTTGTTGTTGTTGCTAATATGTGAATGATTTATTAGACAAATGGCAGAACTAAAACTGTTTTATTACACTAGATTCTACCTTATTGTGTGAGCCAGTTCCACACACTTCCACTGTTCCACCTGCTGCCCATTTAGCTGTAGCACTGTGTCCAGTGACTGCAGGCCTGCCAGATCTGCTGGCCCACCTAACAAGGAACAAATTAAAATTATAAAGAGTGGAACATTTATTCACACTAAACAGATATCTCTTCACACAGATCCATCTACATGAATGTTTTCGTTATGCTCTGAAACAGCAAACACAAGAACAGTTTGTCAAGGATTATTTAGGACAAAAGGTGATTATTTCATCTGAAAGTTTAGAAAATCTGAGGAGTTCAGAAAAGTTCTGGGACAGTGGAGTTTGATGCCAATAGACAATAACCAATTTTAAAAGAAACCCATAAGTACTTATGATGGTTATTTAAGCACTCCACGTGTTATCATACCTGAAGGGCCCTATAAAATATATATAATATATATATATATACACACACACACATACAAATGCTAGTTGTTGTTGTTAAATGAGCCTCAATTATCTGAGTCATGTTCCAGAAGTAAAATAGTTAATTCTAGGAAAAAAATGTCAGCTTTGATTTAATAATAATCTTATATTTGATTATAGCGCCTTAGCACATCATTAAGGCATCGCAAAGTGCTTCACAGAATATATTGTAAAGTGGAGTGACTGTGTACTTTGTGGGTGAAACAATTTTTTTTAAACTTATGTTATTTATGGATTACTCTGAAATAAAAATCAAAAGGCTTTACAACATTGTAAATTATTTTAAACCTACTATAAATGAGCTCAGAGCAATGTACCACTGTACTCACATTGCTAATAAATATTTAACCCAAATCCCTAAGAGTAGCCAGTCAAGTAACTAAAAAGAAGTTATTTGTCATTTTGCTGTTTAACACGAGCGTTAAAAATCTTGCCTGGATCAACGGCTTGCACACGCACGGGAGCATCCGAGCAAATAGTGAAGCCAAAACCATCTTTACCTCGAGGGATTGTCACCTGAAAGCCATCAAGTAAAACGTTGTTAACCTTGCAATTTAAAACCCTTAAACGTTCAAGGAATGATGTGCTACATATTTTAATTGAAGCAACACATTATGCACATTTTATCAACCTTACAATCAAATGTACACACCTACATATATCCTGTTAGCATTCTATCTAGGCTAGATTGTGCATTAAAGCCATATTACCGTTCTTTAACTCACACTTTGCATTTATATAGTGCCATTCATGAAACACAATATCCCAAAGCACGTGACAAATGTAATTATGTGCACAGAGCAGGAAAAAATAAATATTTTAGAGCAATGACCAAAAACAAGGCTGTTTTTAAAAGGCAAATTTTTGAGGCAAGGAGAGATTTCAATACTTAAACATGTTTTCCAGGAGCAAGAGAGTTAATTCCTTCCAGTTTAGATTTTACTGAACAAAACAATAGGTTTTTTTTACTGAACAAAACAACGTTTTTTTTTACTGAACAAAATAATAGTTTTTTTTACTGAACAAAACAATAGTTTTTTTTTACTGAACAAAACAAGTTTTTACTGAATAATAGTTTTGTGAAGGTGCTCTTTGATTCTGAGAGTTGTTGAATACTTGAAGTTGACTGATTCTTTTCTAAACTATTATACAATTGCCAAACTGTGGCTTGTACCATATGCATTTAAATAATAATAATAATCCTTGCATTTGATATAGCGCCTTATCACATCTTTGAGTCATCTGAAAGGGCTTCACAGAATATACTGTAAAATGTATTGAATGTATATTTGTGGGCAAAACACGGCAGCCAATTGCACACAGCAGTGTCCCACAAACAGTCGTGGATTGAGTGTCCAAATTATTATTATTTGCTTTTAAGGGATTATTACCCCAGAAAAGCGATCCACCAATCGACTAACAACGGGTTCCTACTTACTGTTGGTAAACAGGCGTGTGTGTGGAGTAAGGAAACTTGCCCATCGTATCTTCCTGCCCAGTAATCAAACTCAGGTCCTCTCACTTACGAGACGAGTGCTCTAACTATTAACCTACAGGACTCCATGTTTTAATACTGACCAAGAAATGATAAGACCAGAGTAGGACAAACTAACTAGAGCTTCAAGAAATGCATGCCACAATTCCTTTTTAAAACATCAACTTTCTACTTAACGTGAGTTACATAGTTTACACACTCGTAAAGTTAAAATGATAGGAGCTCGTAATCACATCTTTCACTACGTCAAAGTCACGAAACCAAACGCAGTACATGAAACTAGGAACTGCTGTAAAGTAAATACAGGTATAAACACCAGTTATAAAAAGAAAACGAATTAATCTACTGTGGATCTTGTTAAATTGATATGTGAATGCTGTACCTGTTTTCCAATTGCTTGAAGCATTCCTGAATCCTAATGGTTCTTTCTTTCCTGATTATGAAGAGCCAAGTTTCCCGAGCACCCTTTTGATACCGTGGAGACTTGGCTGTTTCAGAGGGCTGAACACACCATGCATGGCTTCACAGAGTGCAATATCCAGATACGGAACCAATTTCCAGAAGCTGTGTCTTTCTGGCTCAAACATTTCAGAGTGAGCTGTAGCCTAGTTGGCAAAACCTCCCATGGGAACCCAGAATTAGAAGAATGGCAGGAAGCAACCTTTCACCTCCCAAACCGCTGGCTATGCTGCATGCCTCAGGATGATAAGCCAGAGGTTTCCTGAAATTCATGCACCAAGAGAACAACTTTTATGTTGGATTAGTTTTGACCAACCGATTAATATTCCCTTGGTCCCTCTGAATTCTTGATGTCTGTTCCTTGCAGCATTTTTGCTTGCTGCCGAGAAATACTTTATTGTATTATTTTCAAAAAAAAGGGCAGACATCAGGCATTGACCAACGGAGATTTTAGCAGAGATTTTCACAGTTATCTATTCTCCAATGGGTCACTTGTACTTGGTTACTTTCCTTTTAGCAGTAAAGACTTAAATCACTTTTATAAGTAAATATATTAAGGCAGAAAATTGGACTTATGTTTCTAAAATCAAATCATGTTCCCACTATTTCCTTCTTAGTGTCTATGACTCATTTATCTTACATTGACTGGTTGGTAAAATTCAGGTTCCGGCAGACAAAACTCACACGACTAAAAATACAATCAAAATAATCTTGTGGGATTCAATGGCAAAAAGGTTGGTTTAAAACGAGTTCTGTGATCGGTGCGCAAGGTAAATCAATCATTGGCCTAGAGTTTTTTTCCTCCCTTTCAATAAAAGTTTCAACTTAACAATAAATATTTTGAAAAATCCGATCCAAAACATACTGCACAAGAGAGAGCAGGGATTGTAAACGGTAAACATGCTTCAGTAGAACTTCCTATTTTAACCCCAAATGTTTACTTTATTATTTCCCATCTTTGTCTCAGGAGTAAATCACAAGCAAAACATTTTCTTGGCTTATTGACCATTTGAGGGGAGGGCAACATTCTGCAGGAAGAGAAATTCCTCATTGACTTAGAACAACAATTTACAGTGTGAAACTCGCTGCTTACAAACAAAGGACAGAAATGTTTAATTCAGAATTCTGCATTCCTATTCAGGCAGTTGTGCAGTCTGTTTTCTCTGCCAGGACAAGATCAGTTCATGATAGATTCATATCGAAACTCTGCTGCAACTATAGGCATTTGCCTGCTGTATACTCTATCGTATTTTATTTTGTGCAGCGCTTTGAGATGCCCTCCTGATGTGAACAGTGCTATATCAAATGCAATGATTATTTATTATTTTGGAATTGGTTAAAAAGTTGTAAACTTTTTAAAAACACAGAACATTACAGCACTGAAATAAGCCATCGGCCCAACTAGTCCTTGCCAGTGCTTATACTTCACATGATCCTCACCCCTCCTAATGCTCTCTCTCATTCCTTGCTGCCCCCTTCTCCCTCAGGCTTCCTTATTAAAAACTATTGTGTATATGATCACACCATCATGAAAACAGGAGAAACAGGACAGATCCTTTACTTACCCACGAGAGCTAGGAACGTAAGAAGCATTATGATATAATAAACTTTTACTACAGACAGCTTGTAAAATAAAAACAATCCTTGCAAATCTGAAGACACACACACAATGTCACATTTTGAATATGGATCTGGTTTTTTTTTTATATTGTGGAAACTTCATCATTAACCTTTATTACTGAAAATAAACACGAATAAAAATGATTTGAACATTTCTTGAGCGGCAAACACACCTTCAGCTGCTCCATATCCTCAATGCCTTTGCCCTCGGTTTTCGCTGCATAATTTTTCATGGGAGATCCTGAAACATTTAAATAAAGGAATCCACTGATCAGTTTGGAAAATAATAATAATCTCTGCATTTCATATATAATGTCTCTCATGTTGGGAGGGCATCTTAAAGTGATTCACAGGATATACTGTGAAGTGTAATGACCGTGTATTTTGTAAGCGAACCCAGCAGCTAATTTACGGACAGCAGCATCCCACAAGCTGTCATGAGGTTAGTAAACAATTTATTTGGGGGATTGTTGACAAGACACCACATGAAATTCCCTTTTCTTTTTGAATAACACCATGGGATCGTCAACATCCACCAACAGGCAGATGTGACCTTAGTTTAATGTCTCATCCAAAGGACGGCATTTTCAAACCAGGACTGACTATAAACATTGTTGACTGAAGCCTCAGGACTTAATACCTTGATTTGGTTTCAGACGCCTCGTGGCCACCTTCAGATGCTTTGTTCTGCCCAGATCTTCTCCAAGTAGATAATACCAACCATTGATATCCTGGAACAAATAACAAATGATATTTATGCAGCCCCTTTCACGTTGGGAGGACATCCCAAGGCACTGGACAGTCAGGGATTTGGACCCGAACTGAGGGTTGGGATCAGAAGGTAGAGGGCGGGAGGGTCTTGAGACGCGCCTTGAAGGAGGCGAGAGAGGGAGCGAGACAAAGGGAATGTGAGATGGAGTTCCAAAGGGTGGGGGCAGAGAGGCTGAAGTCCGAGCGCTGTTGGTGGGGTGGGCCAGGCACGGGACGTGGAGCAGGCAGGAGCCCTCTGAGTAGAGGGTGAGGACAGGTTGATATGGAGTTAGAAGGTCACAGAGGTAGGGAATTAGTAAGGCAGTGGAGGACTTTGAAGGCGAGGGTGAGAATTTTGAACTCTATCCTCTGGGGAATGGGGAGCCAGTGGAACCGGGCTAGGGAGGGGGTGATAGGGTCACGGAGCCTTGTGTGGGATAGGACAGGAGCTGCAGATTCCTGGATGATCTGCAGCTTGTGGAGGGAAGGGTTGGGAAGGCCGACAAGCAGGGAGCTGGAGTAATCGAGCCTAGATGTAAATCAACCATAATTAGCAACTTATCGAAACCGAAAAACTCCCCAATTTTTCCAGTGTACATATTAGAAGATATATTTCTTAAAATATGCTTTAATTGGTGGAGATAATGAAGTTTTGCTTGGAATTACATACACGAGGGAGAAGGAAATTGAGGCCTTTAGCTTGTGAGGAGTCTCATGTGGCCTGGATTAGATGGGCTGCAAGGCCTCTTTCTGTGCTGGAACAGTGTGTAATTTCATGAAGTTGCTCAGGACATTTCAGGATTAGAAAACAAAGGGATTGTATTTCCAATATGAAATGATCAGTGATGGTTGCACCTGGATCAATTACAATGTAAAATAATTCTGGTAAAAAATCCTTTGATGCAGTGATCGATCACATTGGGTTGTGACATCTTGACATGTGCAACAATAATAATGTTGCTGCTTTTCTCTGACAGCTTGTTGGTCTAGTAATGTACTATTCAGCAATTGTTTCGCGAAACAGCATTTCCCCATTCTGATAATTATCAACATTTTTCCTGCAGTTTGTTTTCCCTCTAAGACTCCCACGCTTTCTACGCCGGGAGTACACACACTGCCAAGTTTTTTTAAAAAAAATAAAATAAAAGTGCACAGACCTAGAATGTTTCCCAAAGGGAATACTGACCGGTCACAAAACAGAACTAACTTCATGTGAGGAAAGCTACGAGAATAGTAACTGTGGCTTACTTGGGATAACGAGGCTTACTTTATCCCTTTCAGAAGCTCTGAAACAACTATTACTGATTATAGTAGTTATTAAAAACACACAAGGCATTTTTATTCTTATCGGTTTTGTTCGCCTATGAGATACACAGTCACTACGGATTACAGTATACTCTGTGAAACGCTTTGAGCTTTTCCCCTGATGTGAAAGGCACTAAAATCAAATGTTAGGAATATTATTATGAACGCCTCCCTTATTTTTTGGTAATGATCTTAAACTGATGCCTCAATTCAACTCACCAACCAGTGAAACCAGTTTCTCTAGCTTTCTTGTATCAAAACACCTCTTAATTTTGTACAGTGCCAAACATGGTGCATCTTAAGTGCAAAGGAAATGTTTTCTATCAAGGTTATTGCAGGATTTGTTTGTAACCCAGGCGACAATGGTATTACGAGGCTGGAACAATGTTAAAAAGAACAGGAGTATAGATTTTTTTTAACCAAAATAATGACAGAAGACTGAATAGATCAGAAACCAACAACAAACAAAATCCAGTGTAGGAGTGTAGCTGTTAACCCGATTGATTACTAATAGGTTTAAATGTCAGCGTTGATGTATATTGGCAGCTATTATTTTCAAGCTCGGTTAAATATATTATCGTAAATAAGCACTTGACCTTTAGATGAAATAATGACATCTCAGATCACAAAGTCTGGGGCTTTTCTTATTCACCCTCCTCTCCCCTGAATTCAGAACGTCTGCAGATTGGAAAAGCCATTATGTCTCTCGCTGCTCACTGGGAAACCAACTGCTTCGAGTGAAACTGAGCTGTAAAGGATCCTGCTCTGCTCTCAGTCAGGGCAGCAATATAGCTGCTTTCAATGTCGCTGGGCTACGAGAGGGTACGCGATTATCAGCCAGGAACCAGCCCCCAATAACTCTTTCACAATCACTGCTGGAAAGTGCACAGGTGGATATCAGATTTGGACAAGATCAGCGTCAGTTGTGGCTCTATCCCCCTCACAGTGACTCTCACCGTCTGTGCTCACACAGGAACAATGGCCATCTGGGCAAGGCATCAAAGCAGATCCAGTCTGACTGTTCATAGGAGCCACTGCCTTCCCAAAGAGAGGCCGCCCAATTTACAAAGCATCTGTAATCAATGTCTACAGTCTTGTTGCTTTAGTATAATTTTTACACCACATTTAGACATACTGTGAAATTGAAAGCTTGGTTATAAATAAACAAGGACTTGAAACACTTCCTATTTAGGAACATTGGAAAGCAGAGAAGATAAATTGGCTTGATCCTCTATCCAGTCTCAAAGCTAAATGTGTAATAGTCTTCAGATTCTTTCAACCAAATACTGAAAATAGCTTGGATAGGTTTTGTCTCAGTATCTTAAGGGTTAAAAGGATTTCAATTGCTTAACTCCAACCAAAAGACATTTCTTAAAAACACTTTTTTGTTAACGATTCACTTTATTACCATATATGGTAAAGTATTTTGTGCCTTGAAACATATAATTAAAAGACAAAACAGGGGAAGGAGTTCCAGTTATTTAGTAGCATTTTCAAGAACGCAGTCTGGACGTCTATTTTGTAACTTTGATCGTGTTTAAATTAATTCATTTTCATAAGAACTGAATTTCTCCGCAAATGTTGAATAACAGCTTTTATATTTTCCCCGAACCTGTTCTCCTATCTCCTCCGATCCCCTCCCACCCCACTCTCCACCTCTCTGAAAGACATTTAATACCTTCCTCCTTTCACTGGGATAAGTACCCGGGAGGGAGGGGGGGCAATGCAGTCTCCATTAACCCAATCATTCAGGTGTAAAACCTCACTGTGCATTCCACATGCTTTGTTTCTGGACCACATTCGCCTGTTTAGCCCAGTCTGTGCCCACCTGGCAGCCACACACACACACCTCCACCAAGGGTCAGTGGATAGCAGTGAGGGAAGGGAACACATATCACTAACCCAGCACCCGGAGGCCATCGCTGGCTCAGTGAAAACCACGCACCAGGGAGCAAACTCCAGTCAGTACAGCTCAACTGCCTGCAGCGTCTTTACTCACAGCCGGTGGAGGAGCTCCAAAAGGAATGGGATATTTTCAGATTTCTTAACCAAATTTCACCGTCTCCCACGTAGAATACAGCTAATTGATGTGAATATTGAGTTGGTTATAAAAACAAAGCCCCGGCTTCCTTTGCTGAGTGAGAAGAGTATCCTTCTGATTCCTTCTGCTCTCCTGATAAAAGTACAATGTTCTTATCTTTATGTCGGTTATGAAACAGTTTTAAAAATAACTCAAATAGTAATTAACGTTACTGTTTGTTCTATTTCAGAATTGTAAACAAACAGAAACTTTAAAAAATAAAGGACAATCAGTCAAATTATGCTGAATATAATTCACTAAGTTAGAAGGCACTGGATTCAAGCCCCAAGTTGGGACTTTGAACTGCACATTCTAGGCTGATACTCTATTGCAATGTTGGTAGATGTGTTGCATTGTCGGAAATGCTGTCCTTTTGGATGAGATGTTAAACCGAGGTCCTGTGTGCCTGTTGAGGTGCCGTTAAACATCCCACGACACTATTTGAAAATAGAAGGGAATTTCTCCTGGTGTCCTGGCCAACAATTCCCCAGATAAAATTGGTCAATCATGGCTGTTTGTGGTACATTTCTAAGTGCAAATTGGCTGCCAAACTATAATCGTGTTTAAATTAAACCCTAACCCTCACCCTAAATTTACAATAAATCTGGTGAAGAGTTTTATGACATCCTCCTGATGTGAAAGGTTCTGTATGAATTGAAACACTTATTATTGTTGTCACAAATGTTTGCGTATTCAGTTGAAGTTTTTTTGAAAACCAAGTTTGCTACTTTTTTCCTAAATAAACCAATTATTTGTCATTCATACAAACCTTACATTCAGTGTGATTGTTTAACAAAGAAGTTGGGTAACATCACATTTCAGAGCCCGGTTAGAAAATAGAAAGCGATACATCTATTATTTGACTAAAATATGTACCTTGTCCAATCCAAGCAATGACCTAACTCCAAAACTCATACATCCAAGTAGCTCACTGCGCCTGGAAGTAAGTTAAGGAAATCTTGTTGAGAGATACTAAACAATGTAAATAAACAATCATTAAAACATACCTCAATGATCAGATATTAGTACCTGAACTCTATGGAAACATAACAATAACCAGATCCATCAATAACTTGCATTTATATAATGTCTTGGAGTGCTGTACAGTGGTGGCTTCTAATACAGCATTCTGAAACATCAACAACAACAACAACAAGATTCCATTTATAGAGCGCCTTTCATGTCGGGAGGACGTCCCAAGGCGCTGTACAGTTGGGTCAGGACCCGAGCAGGGGGGAAATGGTGAGGGGAGGAAAGGGAGGGAGCGAGGAGGGGGTAGAGAGTCGAGAGGGGAGCTGAAGGCTGAAGGTCAAAGAGAAAGGTCTTGAGACCGGCCTTGAAGGAGGAAAGGGAGGAAGTGGCGAAGGCACTGGGGGATAGAGTTCCAGAGCCTAGGGGCTGAGAGGCTGAAGGCCCGGCCACCGATGGTAGGGCGGTTGGGGCGGGGGGTGTGGAGCAGACCGGAGCCAGAGGAACGGAGAGTACGGGCAGGTAGGTAGGGGGATAGTAGGTCAGAGAGGTAGGAGGGAGCAAGGCTGTGAACGGCCGCAGCTATAAGATGTAGATTAGATACCTAATCTGCCTACCTTAGCCTCACGGCTGCAGACTGGCACTGATCAGAGGTCAGGCACTTCCACACAGGATGGAGCTAAATTAGTGGATAACCTGTCAGCACTACTACAGACAGAGACCCTGCTCGCTCACTTTATGGTTGTTTGTGGGATTCTACTGTGAGAAAATTGGCTGCAGCGTTCACCTACTAAAAACACAGTCACTACAATTCACAGATGATGTGATAAGGCACTATATCAAATGCAAGAATTATATTACATTATTATAAGGTAGGTATTGAAATTACTTTCCACCAGGGAATATTCCCCTACTCACCGTTTAATGTGAGATGTCAGAGAAAACATAAAAATGTCTTCATATAATGACAATCCAGCTCTTTCACCAGTCTTACCTTGAGATTCTGTCTCTGTTCCAAACTGTAACGAGAAGTCTTTTCTGCTCATCTGTCTCTTGAAGTGGGCTACAAAGAATGATTTTAAAACTAGTGAAACCAATCAAGATATTTTATTTGAGACTTTGGCATGTCTCGCCATGTTTTTTTTATTTCTTAATCTCTACAGCAATTTCAACAAAACAGAAAAGCACATCCGGGGGTAGCAAGATGGCAACTGTAAGGAACAAATGTGTCTGAGATTTCCTCCTGAGAGAACAGAAATAGTCGAAGAACACTGTACTGCAATGATAGAACAAATTAGATTTGGCATACCTTGAAAAATATTCCAACAATCCTACTGGTGTGAGAATGATGGTAACTGTTGTATTTGAGCTTCCCAGTGGGCTAACTGAGCAACGGGACTGCCCGGCAGCATGTTTCACAGACGAAACTGTCTGGTAGGGCTATGTGGAGCACTATGTTATGTAGTATTTTGAGTTGAATTCTGAGGCAATTGCATAAGCTCTTGTGTTCTTGGCATAAACAGATGTGACTTAGGCACTAGCTTCTCGTGGTGCTGTCAGACATGAACTTGTCAAGGTCTAACACCCCAGCCCCATTTCCCTGAAGTTTGCAGAGGACAAGCTTTGACATGGAGTACGTGATTAGTCAACACACAGAATTGTATGGCTCTGAAACCTACTCACTCCAGGAGCAAGGAGTAAGCGTTCACTGCAACTGGTAAACAAACCATGGCCATTAGTGAGCAATGAAGTTACAAACTTAGAAACCACCCATTACAGCGCAGCCTTGTCAGAACAAGCGTGAATTTGTTTAGAATGTGGTTGCACTGCGACTTCTTCAATGTGTATATGTACAGCCGGCTTGCTTGCTGCAGAAGATTGTGGGTTCAAGTCTCATTGGGACTTTGATTACATGCAGTCTAGGCTGACGCTCCAGTGAAGCTCTGCATTGGTAGAGGTGCTGAAACACAGCAACTGTGAAATTTTAAAAACTGAATCAATTTTAATCCTCAAAGTCTCAAAAACTGTAAAGATTGGAGCCCTGATATTATGGGATTGCAAGCCAAAACTCACATGAGCTTATCTATCTTATTTTGTTACCCTCCAACTTCACATGTGAACATGTAACCAATTCTGTTTACATACTGATGTTGCCATCTGATAGGCTGTACTGATAAACACACACATAAGATCATTGTTTGTTAAATATTATATTACTCACTCTGGGAAGATGATAGATTTAATGACAGCAAGTTTCAGCCAACTTTTTTTCACAAATAAATATTAACTCTGAGATCATCAGCGGGATTATAAACTCCTGTTTGTGGGTTCACTATTATGGCTATAAATCTACTCAAATATCAGGAACAGTATTAATCTTAATGACTGTGGCAGAGGATATTTAGACTAGTAAAAGAGCCAAAGGGCATCTTCTCAGTCTGTGGCCCAACAACCCAAACCCTTAGGATTAGTTGCGCTCCCTTCTTTTCTCTGTACTGTATTAGGAATGGTCAGAAGGTTTGGTTGTCAGTCAAAAGGAGCTTAATTAGATAAGAGCATTTCAGCAAGAAGTCCCAAGGTTCCAAAGCTTGACACCAACATGACTACCCTCCTGTAATTATATAATGCTCCTGTGATCAACTGTAAGCTTAGCATTTTAGAACGTAATTGAGTGAACAATATGTACTATGCTTTTTTTAAAATTCTGACACCCAGTTAAACAATACAACATACATTTCATTATTATTATTATTATTACTTGGGCAAGTTTCCTTACTCCACACACAACCTAATAATAATCCTCCAAAACCAAAAACAATAATAAATTGGTCATATTCAATCTACGACTGTTTGTGGGACATTGCTGTGCGCAATTGGCTGCCGCGTTCGCCCACAAATATACAGTCAATTCACTTTACAGTGTGTTCTGTGAAGCGCTTTGGGACGTCCTCCCAACGTGAAAAGCGCTATATCAAATGCAAGGATTATTATTATTATTATTTATATGAAGATATGTAGAATAATGCTTAAGAAACAACAATTTCTCCTGGGAATAAAAGATAACTAAGTCAAGGATTCAGATCTTACCTGCTTCCTAATAATTACATTTAGCACCTTGCCTATACAATAATAATGCAACACTTGAATTGATTTATTTATTTCAGGCTACTTTGCAGTGGCAGCAAAAAAAACTCACATCATATAAAATGCCATGAACAGTATGGAGAATACTTACAAATTGAAATATTCATGAAAGACAGGATTTTTGCAGTCTGGCACAGTCTTGGTCTTTCGTCTGCTTCTACGACTGAGGTCGGGAACCACAGACAGCTTAGAATAAATAACAGTTTTACATTTGATTATCAAGCAGGTAAATAACTGTCAAAAACAGCTTAAATGATCAAGTGTGTTTGAATATTGCATAGTGACTTTTTACTAAGGAAAACGAGAGCAGCTGTTGCCTCCACACAATTCAAACAATCTACAGCTAATGACATCTCACCAGGAAAAGGCAGAGCAGCCGATCACAACACAGTCTGGTGGCCCCTCTGTAGAGCTCACTGCCCAACACAACATTACAATGTATGGTGTACAATGCGCACAACTTGTGCCCTGTGTGAATTGTTGGTTAAATGCTCCTCCCTGAAGTGCAATGTTAACAAAAATATTTATAACTAAGCAATGATAATGGTGGAATGTGTTGCAGATACAGGGAAACCCTTCATCAAGTGAAACCTTTAAACTGCAACACAAGACATCAAGACCAAGTAACAATTGAACAAAAGATGCAGAATATTCATTCTCTTCATGCACAGTGATATGAACTTTGAGGTCAGCGGAAATGTTACTGCACTTAACATTGTTCAATACCTTTCGGAACAGAATTGTTCTTGTGAAGCTGGGACTTTAGAAGCCTCGTCTGTGGATAGCACTGACGATGGTTCAATAATGTGGAGTTTAAACACAGATAAAGATTTCACACTCTTACTATCTTTGGGCTCAGAGAAATTTTATAGGAAATTCCCTTAGACGATTAAATAAGTGGGAAAGAATCCATGATAGACTAGACGGAAGACAGTCTCAGAGAGGAGCAGACCGAAAGGCATTTCTCAGTCTGTAGTTTATGTTCTTGAATGAAAATTCTGACACTCAAACCAAATCAATACCCTTTCCTACACATTTCTCAAATTGGGTATAATACAGAACAAAACAGCTACATTCTACATTGAAGTCCCATCTCCCAGAGGCTGGGTTCATGTACATATAAATTAAACCAATGGCTCTAAAAACAGCAAACTGTAATATCTCATATCTAATATAAAAAATAGATGGCGGATTGCCAGGATTTTAATTATATCAGGGCAATGTTAGTTTTGCAAGAACTAGAGATTTTTCTTCAAAAAGGCGACGGAGTTTCGATCCATGTGCCCGGATTTTTACATGATTTTTTTTAATGCACAGAGGCAATTGCCTAATGGTGAATAACTCAGAGCTCCCTTGAATTTCATTGTGATTGACAACACGACCGTTTGATTAAGATTCGGCACACAAGAGGATTTTAATCTAAAATAATTTGTTTCTGAATCTAGATACAACCAACCTTCAATAAAGGTAACTAATAATAATAATAATCCATACATACATACATACAACGCCTTTCACAATGGGAGGACATTTCAAAGTACTTCAAGGAATTTATCCTGGAGGGTTTCTTGTCAGCATTTAATAAAATGCAACAACCAGAAAGAAACTACAGCAATTTCAAAAAAAGTATGTTTTTTAGTTTATTCTGATATGTATATATAATAAATACACCCTAAAATAAAAAGTGGAACAAAAGAGGATACATTAAATTCATTAAATACATAAAATCAGATTTTAAATTTATGTTAAAAAAAACAAAAATCAAAACACAACTGAATTCAGACTTTAATTTATTTGAAATCAGGACTAACCATTTGTAAGAATTATCAATAGTGATCTTCCAAAACAATTCTGCACCATTGCCCTGAATCCTATAGTGAAGCTTCTAATAATAATAATAATAATCCTTGCATTTGATATAGCGCTTTTCACGTCGGGAGGACGTCCCAAAGCGCTTCACAGAATAGACTATAAAGTGAATTGACTGTATATTTGTGGGCAAACGCGGCAGCCAATTGCGCACAGCAATGTCCCACAAACAGTCGTAGATTGAAAATGACCAATTTATTATTGTTTTTGTTTTGGAGGGATTATTATTAGGCTCTGTGTGGAGTAAGGAAACTTGCCCAAGGTTTCGCCCTGCCTGGAATTGAACTCAGGTCTCTCACTTGCAAAGCGAGTGCTCTAACCACTGAGCTACAGGACTCCACTGTATTCTATAAATACAGGGAATTGTAAACTGAAACAATCCTTTTTAATTCAGAACTCAATATATGTCATTAAACACTGACCAACTCTAGATTTGTCTCATGAGAAAAGAACACCAAAATATGGTTACATGGAAATAGGCCATTCAGCCCAACTAGTTGGTGTTAATATTTATATTCCACCGCCATGCATTTATACTGAAACCCCCATAGACTCCCATCTCTTACATAAAAAGGCAATATTTTTTAGTTCAGTTGTTGCTTTCTTTTATTAAGATAAAGCTTGCCTCATTTTATTAGAAAAACTGTATTTTTACAGTAAAAGAATGAAGTTCAAAAGCAATTTTACCTTTACATATGAATCACAGGTTCGGTATTCTCTTCCCATAAGTCCCTTTGCTTCCATTACTGGAAAAAATACCAAACCATCAATGCAAACCTCAAACTACTTCACATAAAGAAAACATAAGTGTCTTATGTCAAGAATCATAGAAATAAACAACACTTTCAACAATATTTAATTTTGGAAAGACAGATTACACAATCCTAATTTGAGCTCCCAAATCCAAATTGATAAGCAAAGCATTAGACCCTATTTACAATATTCAAAACCTGTATTTCGTATCAGAATGAAAGAATATGAATAACTGCTTTATTTATAACAATTGTATTTTTGGAAGAATATAAACAAGTATATAGACTACATTATTTATTACTGCTATAACAATAGTCTTTGGCACTGGTTTAATGTTGGCTGTGAATTTTGTTTAAATGTACTTTTTTCAACAAATAATTCATAACTTGCCCTTTCATTTACAAGAAACTGCGTTTGTTATTTGAAATAACCGAGTTAATATTAACATTAACATTCAGGAACTTACTGTGAACTGCAATACCATCTGGAAGATGAACCGATAGTTTCAGCTGCCCTGTTAGATGAACAAATACATAATTAAACACTAAGTCTGAATCACAGCATAAAGTCATCTTTCTAATAAGTCATTACACGGCTTGGAAACACTAGCCCTCAGCGTGTGTATCTTGAGTGAAGGAGAGCAAGTTATTTGATCAAAGTGGCATCAAAGCCAAGCCTTCGGCCACAATTAGGCTCGGCCCCCTCCCCCTGGCTCGGCCCCGGGATCCGTTACTGTGAAGCGCTATGAGACATCATCCGGCGTGGAGGGCACTATATAAATCCGAGTTGTTGTTGTCGGTTGCTTTCTTATTTTAAGCCTTCAAAATTCTGGGCAACTGTAATTCAACTGCTAAATATTATCTGAATGCTTAATGATGACTACACTTTATTCCCACAATGTATGCAAAGAATATCTAATTGTTGTTGCTTAAACCTCCAGTGGCACTTCAACAATATGAATGCTGCAACCTCACTGTGTAAAATAATCATCAAAACATATTCAAGACTGAGATCGATAGATTTTTAAAAACTAAAGGGATTAAGGGATATGGGGATAGGGCGGGTAAATGGAATTAGGTTAGAAAGTCAGGCATGATCTTATTAAATGGCAGGGCAGGCTCGAGGGGCTGAATGGCCTACTCCTGCTCCTATTTCTTATGTTCTTATAATGATGATGCTCAAAGCAAATTTAGATGTTTTCATTTTTCTCTTGTTCCCTCTTGAAAGCTGAAGTATGATTTCACAGATACGAGCACTCGAGGTGTACCTTGTGTTCTCCAACAGAGTGGAGATTAGCACGTTATTTGATCAAAGGGGGCATCAAAGCCAAGCATTTTCTGATCTCAACGACATCACACATGTCCCACTTCCAACCAGGGCCACTGGATAATAATCAAGAGCCAGAAACACTCAAACATTAAAAAGTGTGTACAAAGATTTGCTCTGCGGTTACTCCACCAGAGAGTAGCTAACAGCCCAGGCCAGGAATACATTTGGAACCTTCCACATTGCCATAGTGCAGTCCCGCGCAGATTGGTATATTTACCCATTGGGGAAATCTTGAAGCAAAAAAAACATACACCTGTGAATGACGAGGTTTCATTGCCATTTCCTCACACAATAGAATCACAATATTCCTAAAAAGTCCTGGCAAATGGAAAAGTACAATAGCCAACTGCAATACAATTACTTTGGGCAGTTTCAGTTGACCTTTGAGGTCTCTGATTACAGGTGCTAGTTGCTGGTGACCCACTTATACTGAACTACATCAAGCGCTGAATGACAAAGCAATGTGTGTGTCCCGCTCATATCTGCTACTTACTCACTGTGCTACTAAGCTTCATAGACAGGATGTTCTAATGTGTGTGTGTTACTCTGTTCACCAACCTCTGGTGGCTGGTGTCATTACAATCATGAAAAAGATCCAATAAGATAATGAGCTCTTTATCATGAAACATTTAAATCTGAAGGAGAGATGCCGGGTTCTTGTTAAACTTTAATTAGTCGTAATCGGTTGTACATTGACTCCAAGGACACACAGCAATGTTCACTGCAGTTACAGTGCACATTTATACATAAGTTGCTGTTAAAATTGAATTCAGTTTGTTTTGAGGTGCTTTCTCTGCACGTTACAAAGTGGGTCATTAACCGACTGTCTTCTCAGACCTGAAGGTACCCGAGAGAGTGTGGGATTGTCACTTCAATCGTTTGCTGAAGCACGCACACTACCCGTCAACACCAACAACAAATAAACACATTTCAGGGTTAATGTGTGCCTTACCAAAGGTTGTGAGGTAGAAGGAGGAATCTGGTGCGTTTGAAAGTCTGTTACAAAACGAAACTCTGTGGACATTGCCGTACTCCATTGTTAAATCCCAAACTGTAGATAAATCATGAAGTTGTACTATTTCAAACCAACAACTGAAGCAGCCGTTAAACCTCCATCTCAGCCATGCCTGAGCAGCTGGGCGACCCACAAACCTTGAGAACCGCCTTTGCTTTGAATGCAAACTGCAGTGACCATAGTGATGGGAGCAGCTTTGGCTGGGATTGGCTGAGCTGCTGTTTGAATTAGGTTCTCTACCTGACCAAAGCCTATTCACTGGCGTTTGAAACAATCAGAAATGGTCTTGTGAAGAAGCCACAGCGATTGGTAGCCAACAGAGAAGCATTTTCAAACTCCTGAAATGGAGCAGCAGATCTCGCCCAGATAAGGCAGCAATTTACATGTTGGTAATGATTTCCCCGCTTCCTGCTCTGCGGTCTGTGTGATTACCCTAGCCAGGCAACACAGGATAACTGCATGTCTCACTGCTCTGTTTGGGAAAGGATTAAGTTGCAGTTCAGGAGCTGTGACTATATCATTACAACACTAATGCACTAAAATCGCAGCATTGCCACACCAGGCACTCCCAGTACTTTTTTTTATTATTACCATCAAATATTGGTCAATTAGATTAGATTTCCAAATTAAATTAAACCATTTCTCCCCCCACCCCCATTGTTCACTTACATACAGCCACAAATATCAAAACAGTTTGAAGCATTGCCAAGGAGAGTGTGTGGGTTTGTAAATAAATGCTATCAGTTGAACCAGCAAAGTCAGAGAAGCATGCCTCACAGTACTCACAAGGTTTCACTGTAAGGTGTAGTGATTGTGTATTTTGTAAGCGAACATGACGGTCAATTTGTGCACACCAACTTCTCATAAACAGTCATGAAGTAAATGACTAATCATAACGATTTAGCAGTATCATTAACATGATTGTCAAAAATAAAAATATATTGTTACAACAACAACTTGCATTTATACAGCGCCTTTCCCGTGGGGTAGCTCAGAGTGCTACCTTTGTAAACGCTCTGTGATCATGAAATAGTTAATAAAGTGTAAAATGGACCAGGTGGAAACATGAATCCAAGCCTGGTTTTCAATCATACCCTAGCTATTGTTAGCAAACTTTGCCCTGTAGGATTACTCCCAGCTACTCACTGCATGATGAAATCCTCCCCTCTTGGGTTTCAAAAATAATCCTCACTTGTGATATATTTTGCAAATAACAAATGGAAGAAACTCTGCTGTTTATTCTCCTCACTCAATCTTACTGATCTCTTCAAAAGTTGTCCTGAGCCACACACTCCTACTAGCACTATTTAGCAAACAAGAATCTTCCCAAACCAGCATAAACCAACCGCATACTGGGATCAATTACTGAATTATATTACAATGATAAGAAAAAGGCACATGAGGATACCAGGCGAGACAACTGTCAAAATGTTTATCAAATAAACACATTAGATTGAAAGATTAAATATACACAAAAAACAGTGAGAAAATATATTTAAAAGAAACCGAGTAAGAAAGGGAAGAGCTAGGTTTCGTGGCACAATACAGTCACCTTTCTCAGTTAGAATTCTACATTTACATCGCAAAAATAGTGAGCCAAGTCTACAAAACAGAGGATTCAATCTTGTCTGGTCAGCCTGAAGATTGCAGAAACCCATCACTGTGTCTAAAGAGTATCTGAATTAGACAGCACAGAGGATTAAACAGTACAAAATGTACCACTTTAATTGCTTAATATCAAAGGGTTTCAAAAGCAATCTTTAAAACAGCTTCATGTCCATGATGCAAACTACAGTGAACTGCCCAAAACAACAGGCACATTTCAAGACCAAATGAAGTAATTTGTCTGCCCTCGTCTGTAACTGCTGACTCCTGCTGGGCACAGTTTCCCGGAGCACCTTTCTCACCAAATGTCCACTCGCTTTCCCACAGTGTTGACTGCATAGTAATTAGGAGCTGGGATCCCTGGCTCTTTCACTTTCCTAGCCAAGGCCCACTGTGGTTAACCTGCTGCTAGCCCAGCTGAGATCAGCTTAGCTCAACACCGAGCACGGAACAAACCATCACTTTGCCAACTTTAACTATTAAGGAGCTAGGAATTCAATTTGACCTTTGCTCTAAACAAAGAAGTAATATGAAGTAATCGTTGCAATTCATCTCAAGTCTTTCCTACAATTTCCTCCTGTCTTTTCCCTAACTATTGACAGCAAAAAAGAGCAAAAATGAATAATCCTTACATTGTCTATAGCGCCTTTCACATCAGGAGGACATCTGAATGTGTTTCACAGGATATAGTGCCAAGTGTAGTGACTGTAAATTTTATAGGCAAACAATTTCTTTTATCAAAGCTTCATGCAATATATTCATTAAACTTAACTTGATCGCTAAAATTATGCATTTCAGCAAAGTAAAATCTTACTAAAATTGTATTAAATCATTCCAATAGATATACAATTTTGTGAAGCTGGGTATTTTATGCTTAAAATGGCAGCCAGTAAAAAAAATCAACAAAATGGGCAAAAAGTGATTAAATTGAGAAAAGCAAAGACAAAATAACAACAGTCATTAAATAGCAATCACAATGCTGAGCAATCAATTTGTAACAAACATGAAAGGATGTGAAAGACAATCAGCTGCATGTGTTTGTCATGAGGACTCCCGCTTTTAACCCTCCTTTGGGACTGTGTGCCAATGGGACATCAGAATTATATTAGAGATCGCATTTTCAGCATAATTAGAGGATTATTAGCAGCAGTGCATCCCAAATGATAGAACACCAGTCATTAGACATTCTGGTCTTCAGTTTTACAGCATCCGAGTCTTTACACATCAAATCTTTTGAAGTCAGACATTCATCGAAGCCCAATTCCCTTTGCTTCATCTAAGGCAAATTTCCATAGACATTATCAAGACATTATCCTACTGGAAGGTCGCTATATAAATGCAAGTTGTTTTTGTTCAATGTAGCAAACAGGCCTAGAGTTTGATTCATTTTCCTTATTTTACAGTGTGTAATGCTTAGCTAGGTCAGTGCAATTATATTCAATAAGGACCGGCAACATATTGACTTGAAATAAGTAGGAATGCCCACATTGATCGAGATAACCCATTATTTACATGATATGCCATCAAGTCCAATATGCAGTGGAGTTCTGTTATGGACACTAATTGGGATTCAATAAAATCCCGACCAGCGTTAGAACTGGGTTCTGTCACTCGGTAGTGTTTCTGCATTCACTCCACCTGGATAGTAAAAGGTTTCCCACGCTAACATCCCAGGCAACAATCCTCCAGATTAAACAAAACTTAATCATTCATGTCACGGCAGTTTGTGGGATCATTGCTACGTGCAAATTGACTGCTGTGTTCACCCACAGACACAGTCACTACACTGTGGGAAAGCGAGTGGATGTTTGGTGATAAAGTGTGAAGCACTTTGCAACGTTTTGCCAGGATGAGATGTTCTATAAAATGCAAGTTTTTATTTTTTTTAATTATTGTTGTCTTAATTATTGTGCTTTCGATCTCCCTGCTTCCCTCCCTGACCTCCACCCTCCCCGACCCCCAGCTCAGGTCCAAAACTCTGTCTGTCCAGCGCTTTGGGACGTCCTCCCGACGTGAAAGGCACTTTACAAATGTAATTATGTTGTTGTTAATTATGTACAGCTAATACTCTTATAACATGAATAAATTCAATGTCAGAAAATGATTATAAGCACAATGGATTTTTAAAAATGAAATAAAAATAAGGAATTCTTTGAAAAACATTTGATGTGTCCATTTCCCTGATGTTTTAACTGCTAATTATATTTACAAAGAAACACCTATTAAATGAATAGCTATATTGAAGTACTCCCAGCTTAATTTACCAGCTTTACATCTTGAATAACAGGCATTGATTGATGGAAGCTAAAAATGAAATTAGCTAAAAATTCCCAATTGAGAATAACTAACCAAATCACTGCATAATTGTACGAGGAAATAGACGAGCCATCCAAACCACTGTTCATTTTGTGCACCTGCTCTAAAGTCATCTGGTGACATCCCTCCTGATAATTAGCATAGCCTGCAAACAGCTCTTTCATTGTGGTAGAAAGCTCTCTTTAGATTCAAATAGGAAGCTATTAAAAAAGACATTGTTAATCTATATTTCAAAACTGTGTCAGGCAAGACACACAATACAATGCAAATTACATTTACATAGTGCTTTTCATGTTGTGAGGAAGTCTCAGGGCACTTCACAAAGGAGCACCTAAGTTGGGTGGAAGAGGGGCTGAGGAGGAGGTTGGGGAAGAAGATGACTGAAAGGACAGTTGAAAAGATGGAGTTTAAGGCAGGCTTTAACAATGGGGAACAGGGGGCAGAGAGACTCCGGAATAGTATTCCACAGCGTGGGGGCAGAATGGCTGAAAGCTTGCCTACCGATGCTGGAGAGGGTAAGGTAAACAAAACAACTAAGTATGAAACCAGTCTCCTGCTCCATAACGTAATAGTGCCAGGAGCAAAACTGCTTTATTTCAGACCTTCTCATTATTATGAAGGTTTATTGAGAAAACCTTCTCAATATAAACTACAGGAGAACTTTGCTGACCCCCAGTGGAACTTAAACAAGCTTACATCATATCTATCTCAATTACTGACATAAATAGCCATGATCTGAAAAAATATTATACAGTATTCCATTAACTTGTCTCCATAACAAAATTAAAGTTCAGTTGAAGAACTGAAAAGTTTAAGAATAATTTAGCAATAAAAAGATTGGCTGATGCACAGAACCAATTATATTCACCAGATCAGGTCTTTGGGCTAAAGGTATAGACTGACATTCCAACAACAACAAGATTCCATTTATAGAGCGCCTTTCACGTCGGGAGGACGTCCCAAGGCGCTGGACAGTTGGGTCAGGACCCGAGCAGGGAGAAAATGGTCAGGGTGAGGGGAGGGAAGGAGCGAGGAGGGGGGGAAATGGTGAGGGGAGGGAAGGGAGGGAGCGAGGAGGGGGTAGAGAGTCGAGAGGGGAGCTGAAGGCACGGTCAAAGAGAAAGGTGGTAAAGGCGTGGACCAGAGTTTCAGCAGCGTGAGGTGTGAGGTAGTGCCGTAGTCTGGCGATGTTTTGGAGGTGATGGAAGGCTGTGCCAGTTGTGGTGCGGGTATGAGGGAGAAAGGACAGCTCAGGGTCGAATAGAACACCGAGGTTCCTGATGGCTTTGAGAGGTGGAGAGTGCAGCCTTGGATGCTGACGCTGTCAGCGCCTGAGGTGCGGAGGCGCTGACGTGAGCCAATCAGGAGGGCCTCAGTTTTGCGCACGTTGAGCTGAAGAAAGTTGTCTCTTGTCCAGGACTCGATGTCGGACAGACAGCTGTCTGGACATCGGTGGTTGTGGAGTTGAGGGTAGAGGAGGAAAGGTAGAGTTGGGTGTCATCCACATACATGTGGAAGTTAACCCCATGTCTGCGGATGATGTCACCAAGGGGGAGCATATAGAGGGTGAAGAGGAGGGGACCGAGGACGGAGCCCTGAGGGACACCGCACGAGACAGTGCAGGGGCTGGAGGAAAAGCCATTTGTGGAAACAAAATGAAGACGGTGGGAGAGGTATAACCTAAACCACTCGAGGACAGGGCCTTGAAGGTTGAGGTGGGAGGACAAGCGGTGGAGTAGGATAGCGTGGTCGACCGTATCGAATGCTGCCGATAGGTCGAGTAGGACGAGGAGGCAGAGGGAGCCCTGGTCACAGATGGTCAGGATATCATTGGTGACCTTGACCAGGGCAGTTTCTGTGCTATGGGCAGCACGGAAACCCGACTGAAGGGGTTCGAATAATGAATGGGTGGAGAGGAAAGAGCGCAGCTGGGAGGCGACAACTCTTTCAAGGACCTTGGACAGGAAGGGGAGGTTGGAGATGGGCCGGAGATTGATAGCTGCGACGCACCAAGGGAGGGTTTTTTCAAAGTGGGAGTGATGGTGGCAGTTTTTAGGGGAATGGGAACAGAGCCAGAGGAGAGGGACAGGTTGATGATGTCTGTGATAAGTGGGGCAAGGAGGTGGAGTTGATTCCAATACCACGTGGCCACTGCGGGAGGTGTGTTCTCCAGGTGAGACGTTAAATGGTCTGCCTGATCAGGTGGACATTACAGATCATGCAGGGGCATGTGAAAAGAGAAGGGAGTGTCTCCCAGTGTCAACCATAAAAATATGTCATTCATTTCACGGGTGTATGTGTAACTTGCTGTGTACAAATTAGCTGTTGCGTTTACCTACAAAATACATTAAGTGATTAAAAAGCCATGGCTTCCCTGAAAAGAATAACAACATCCATTTGGATTTATAAAGTGCCCTTCAGGCGGGGGAGCATCTCAGAGAACATGGATAGGATCACAAGGTATAAACTGTTCATAAAGTCCAGGCAGGGCGAAACCTTTGGTAAGTTTCCTTACTCCACACACCGAATAATAATCCCTCCAAAATCAAAAACAATAATAAATTGGTCATTTTTAATTTACGACTGTTTGTGGGACATTGCTGTGCCCAATTGGCTGCCGCGTTCGCTCACAAATATACAGTCAATTCACTTTACAGTATATTCTGTGAAGCGCTTTGGGATGTCCTTCTGACGTGAAAAGTGCTAAATCAAATGCAAGGATTATTATTATTAATTATTGCCATTTTTAAATCTGTCAAGTCTTAAAACATGTCTGTACCTTTTCCCTTCACACCGGCATAGCTAATCCTCCTCTTGTTCTTTGGGTTGCAGGACCTCATTGCCCTCAATGATGTTTGAACTGTTGCTGCTTGAGGTTTATTCTCACGCTCGGCCTCAGCCCTTCTCAGTCTATATTCCATCTTCTGTAAAACAAAATCATTATGAGTAAGAAATACGTAAAACTATTCCTTTCCATTGCCTGGAAATGTTTAAATCAGTGAAAATATATAGGTAAACCCATAACAAATGACCCATTTCCGTGCTGTACAGTCAAGGTAATTCTATGTAATATGACAAGAATGAACAGCTTTCATTTCTCACCTTTTAGATTCATTAAAATAAGTTTTCAAAATCCATGGTATACACCTTGGTGTTTTTAATTCACCTTTAAACCTTGTCCTATCCTAATGTAAGAGAACACAGCTTCATACAGATCTGAATAAGAGTTTACTCCGGACACGAACATTTGCATTTAAAGCCAACCTTTCAGCATCACGTTTTGAGTCTGTTTTTCAGGTTTAAATATTCTGTCGTGCTATCACCGTATAATACACCCTTTTCTAGAATTACCCAATTTAATAAAACATGTACTGTTAAATATAATTAGCAGAGTATTGTGCAGCAGCCGTTTACTTAGCTCACAGGCCTTTTATCTGAGGAACTTGATTTAAACTCGACCAGCTATAAGGTTTCTGTGTAAAATTCCAGCCGGGTTGTACTGGCAGCAAAAGCATTGCATTTTATACATTTACACAATAAGACTCTGTTTCGGTACAAACATTGTTTAAATCGTATTGGCACTGAGTCTCCTGGGATTGGGAGGGAGATGTTCTTTCACTCTATATAAGGCAAACGCTATTCCAGGCAGGTGCTGTCAGTGAGACCAGACTGGTAATCAATCACAGGAACTCATCCGCCACTTTCACCACAATCTGTTGCAAACAATGCACCATTACACGGGCAGAAAAGGTACTTTGTAAATCTTCACACTGTTCAGGCAGAACATGAGAGACTCTGCCCTCCCATGGATTAAGATGTGTCCAATTGACTCATTTTCTAACGTGTTTATAGCACAATTAGAGATTGCAAGATGACGAGAGGGGGAGGAGAGCAAAACTCCCAACGCAAGGAATTCATAAGTAATAATCAAGCCAACAAGTATTTCTCTAACTTTATTCCCTGGAAATGTCAGCAGGTGTTGAGAGTGCCTGAAATGAAGCAGATTTTCGAATTGTCTAAAGGTGCTTTGGGTAAATAAATATATTTTCTGAACTTAAATACTGTATTTTAAATGGAGAGAATTCATATCAAGTTTTTCAAACTTTAGAAAGGCAAAAGTTAAAAGGAAACCAAATGGTAAAATCAAAATGTATTTTAAGTACTCCAATTTCCTTATGTGCCCAACGTTTCAGTCCAGTTCATTAGTAATCCAACACTCTCATGTACACTTATGAATAATTAATTTTGGAAGCCAAGGGGATCACCTGAAAAGTGTCTATTCACTCCCTGTTGATTAACGAGTGGGGAGGAGCCAAACAGGAAAGACTCAGAATAAAATAAAGGGAAAAGAAAGATTCTGAAGGTCACAAAGGAAAAGTGAAATGCAGATGAATCGAATGAACATTTCATGCTCTGACCAATTATAACTGGAAGTTCAATGTTAATTAAACTTATAACTTCAAAGACAAGAGAATCTGTATATATATATGGCAATGTTCAAAAAGAGAAGGCAGCTTCTCTTGGTGCCCTGACCAACAAGCTCCCTCCCCAATAACATTGGCCGTCTCGTGACATGTCTGTGTGCCATATTCCCCTACAAATACCATCAAATTCGCCCACAAATATACAGTCAATTCACTTTACAGTGTGTTCTGTGAAGCGCTTTGGGACATCCTCCCGACGTGAAAAGCGCTATATCAAATGCAAGGATTATTATTTTATTATTATTATCAAATTCGCCCACAAATATACAGTCAATTCACTTTACAGTGTGTTCTGTGAAGCGCTTTGGGACATCCTCCCGACGTGAAAAGCGCTATATCAAATGCAAGGATTATTATTATTATTATTATTATCAAAATCACCTGAAGAGCTTTGAGACTTCCCGATGATAAGACACTATATCAAATGCAAGGATTATCATGTATATTCATAACATAATAATCATACTAGACCAGACAGACCTTCAATATTGCTTCCCCATTACCTTTACATATCATCCAAAACGAAGCTTTTACATCACATTACACTTTATTTTAGCAACTCCCTAGTGTTGTGCAGGACACTATTTACATAATACTTTAACTCAATCCGGCGATTGATTCACCACCTATCTTATTAAAATCGTTCTGCAATCTAACAAATGTGCTAACCTCAGGCTAAATGAGTTGCAGGAAACCCAAGTCAGGATGTTAATGTCTGCTGAGAAAACGTATTGTACTTACTGAACCTTATCAAGTCCTGTAATTATAGCTGGGTTAATATGAAGCCCGGCATTTACATTCTGTCTGCAATTCTTAACTACTATTTGCAGTGGATACAGAATTATAAAACACAGCAGTAAGGAAACGAGGGGAAGGAGAAACACAGTACTTTCTGTGTTCCCAATATAATGTTCAAAGTTATTGAAAATCCCTCCCGAGGCATGGGATACAATACATTCAATCCATGTTAATCCTGTCATGGTCCACAATGTGAACTTCTCCCGCACATGTTAAAGTGTTAAAGTTAATGTGAAAGAAAGCAAGTTCGAAAATTCAAACATTTCCTACAAAATGCAACTTAGTAAACTACATAACTAAAAGTGTCTCACTGCTATATTAAACTGCAATCGCCCTACAGCAATCATTCTGGTGAAAGTTATTCAGTGTACAGTAGTTAAGCAAAGATATTACTTACTCTACTGTAAAGTTCCCCCTTCAGCACAAACACCTTCAATGTTGTAGTTTAAAAGATGTATAGCCTTACAGAGTTTAACGAGCTAAAGACTTGGATGGACCAGATTCTTTGGGTCCGGCTCAGAACATGATCCTCTCGACCATTTTGCGAGTTTCTTTATAGTTCAAAACCCCAATAACAGAGACTCTGAGCAGCTTTTCACACTCACATTGCTGAGCTCCAGCCTCTGCAGTGAGGAGGCCAATCACTTGGAGCCCAGGACACAGACACAGAGACTTTACCTTCAATGAGAAAAGTTTCTCGGGAGGACGAGACACACGACTTCCTCTGGAAACCTTCTCTTAACATTCCACACATTCAAATAACCCTCGTAACCCTCTCGGTAACCAGAGTCATTCGAGGATCATAAGAAACAGCAGCTTGACCATTCCATGTTTATAACATTAAAGTCATCATTTCTCAACTCCAGTATCTGAGCAGAGCAGCTCTCACAGGGTTACTGACACCACCCAATACTGACTGACAATGGAATGAAGTCATCTTTACAAGTTGACAAAAAAAGCTGTTAACTTTTGATAATCAATGAATCCAGTATTTTAGAGAGCACATTTCTGTGTGCAATGACATTCAATAAACACTCAACCCTTACCACATCAGCTCAGCAGAAACCAACTGACAGTTTTACTCGCAAACTCATGAAAGTTTCCTGTATACAGGGAGGGTTAGAATATACAGAATCTGTTATACTTGTATTTTTAATAATAATCCTTGCCTTTGATACACCACGTTGTTGAGACGCCTCAAGGCACTTCACATGGCAGTTTTTAATAAAAGGCAGTTAGATGAACAATCTAGTCTGAAATGCTGTGATTCAGTGAGAATCTTAAACAGATTTTAAAAAGATGTCAAATTGTATTTCACTGACACCTGCAATTGACAGATTTGAAGCTTTACACATAGTTTAGATTTTAAATGATTTAAATTCCCATGAATTGTTCAAAACCTGAGAGGAACTGAACAGATCACTCAGTCATTTCCTAACCCTTCTGACCCACTTAGCCCTAATCCCTGCCCACATACCAGTAAGTTTCCTCTCCACTACAACATGCATTCTAACTCTGAAGACAAATTAAGCTGATTTTCAAAATATTATCATGGTTATTTTATGCTTCGTTTACAAAGGTCACTCGTATTGAGTGATGGGTCGCATTGTGGATTCCTTGGAATAGATTCAAAGTTAGTTTGTTTTGTTAATCACTGAAGAGATCTTGTTTGAATAAACAATTCAAATTACTACCAAAACCACTGACCAGAAGCTGTGTATGATATATCAGGCTCCAACATTCCCTCCGGCAAAATATTTCTTGGTTTGCCATAAAGACAAAATGAAAAGATAAAAGTTCCACTTCAATGGATAGTGTAATGAAATTGTGTATTAGAGTGACACCATGTGGCCCAAATAGCAACCGATATTGTTATCAGCAAAAAATTCTAAAAGATCCTAATACATGCAAAATATCTCGAAGGATCACTAAGTGTTTTAAAAAGGATCTTTAGCCAACTGTTTTTCCTGTATTTACATTGGTCATAAAATTGTGTCACAGTTGAGAAAACGTGCTTTGGATTTACAGCTGAATATTACAATTCAGTAACTTTGATCTTTGCTCTGGTCACATAGCAAAAGAGCAGGAATGAACCATGAGATTAGATCTTGTGGCACGATCAAGAGGTAGTGATCTTCACTCTTCCCCACCTACCTACAGACATCGTGAGCCTCTCTGTCTCCTGGCACCATTCCCACCGCTTTAAAAACAGCCTTCTTTACCTCCAACATCAAAAAACCTTCCCTCGACCCATCTCTCTTCTCAAACTACTATCCTATCTCCAACCTTCCCTTTCTTTCCAAAGTCCTGGATCAATTTGTTGCTTCCCAGCTTCTCTCTTTCTTCTCCTGCCATAGTATGAACATATCCAATCTGATGTCCATGCTGTCAATAGTATAGAGACAGCCTTATTCAAAGTTAAGAAAAGGAAGACAGTACAAAACACAAAATACTGCAGATGCTGGAAATCTGAAACAAAAACAGAAATCGCTGGGAACCCTCAGCAGGTCAGGCAGAGTCTTTGGAGAAAGGAAAGTGAGTCAACGTTTCGGGTCCACGACCCTTCGTCAGAACTGAACCCTTGGTTCAACATCTCATTTGCTGTGTATGGCACCTACCATCCAGCATAGCCCAGGATTCTATTGGAGTGTCAGCCTCGACTGCGAGTCCAACGTCCCAACATGGACCTTGAATCCACAATCTTCTAACTCAGATGCAAGAGTGGCTGACAACTGAGCCACACTGACACCTAAATAAAGGGCATGGCTCATCCCAATGCTAATTATTGGAGCATTCCTGAATACGGTTCTAACTTGAACTTGATTCCCTTTCTGGTTTGACAGTGCACATCTTTGAAGCAGAATTCAAACTGTAGAGGAACGATGGAGCCTGTCCTGGTCTGAAGCATTATTGATGGCTTTGGAACAGGCTGCACATTGCTAAACATTGTGCAAGATCACAGCACAACATAAACAAAGATCATAGGCGTCAGTCACTGGAGAGAATCCATTACAAGTCACACAAACCTTGAAACTGGCTGTCAGTGTCGGACAAGGGCGAAGGAGTGACTGGAACAGAGCTTCGAGGCACAAATGACCTCAACCGAATATCTTGGAAGACAAAATCAAAGGCACATTTCTCAAGCGGTTTACTTGACTGCAAATCCCAAAAGAACTATTCATAGACAAAGTGAATCGTGTTCGACTTTACAGGAAACGTTCTGTAAAAGAAAAGGCGTTTGTAGCATTAATTAACACGTCAATTAATTGTTCAAACAGCTTTAGTTTAATTGTTTCCCCTTTTCTGTGTTCAA